GGGGGGGGGGGGAAAACAAGCCTATTGGCTGGACCAATAGGGCCAGCTTCCTCTTGTGAAACCAAACATTTCTTAGATTTCATTCATCTATTGGTGAATGTTGATCTTCAGAAAGCAGTGACTGAGATTATTATTAGCCATTCTGGTTCAGGTCATCATAGGTCAGTACTTTTATCAAAAATCAAAAAATAATTCGAATATAGGTCCCCATGTGCTTCATTCAAGACACACCACTAAACAAGAAAGAAGCTTTATTCTGCAGCTTAAATTTCTACCAGATATTTTAAGAAATATTAAGAATCATTAACCAATGTACTGACCTGCAGATGAAAAAAAGAATGGATACCTCTAGGAAAGATTCAATTCACATGAAAGGTGTGCCTTTACTAACGACTTCTTTGCACAGACTGCTATATTTATTTTCTGTGCCTAGCACATTCTGTGAGAAGTCCTGTAAGTTCTGTGTGTGGAGAGCAGGCTATAAAATGGGTTTATCTCACCTCTTCTTGACCATCAGCCACAACTCCATGTTCTGCCAATAACATCCACAATGTTAGCAAGCCCTGTTTTGACTCATCCTGATTCTGAAGATCTTTCCACTACTCCACTTCCCCTCCTCAAATTAGATACCACACTCAACCACCAGTACTGAAGTCCTGGCTACACCCTACAAAGATCTCTCACTTGCCTTTTACCACAGATTCCTGTTCTTGCGATGCTCCCTCCCCCCAGTTACTGTCTGTTTTGGTAATTTACAAAATTGTCTTAATGTACAGCAGAAATTGTTAGATACCGATTTCTTTTACGGTAATGACTACCACTTAGGAAATACAAGCTGCATTTTCATTTCTACAAATACTACAGGCAGCTCAAAACTTTTCAAAGAGATCTTACTGACATCTCATTCTTGAATTATTTAATAAATTAATACTTCTGAAGTTGAAACAATGGAACACTTACTGGTTTTCACAGTTACACTTCAAATAGAGGACACAGATTTGATTCTCCCTTGTCCTAATCTTTTAAGTAAATATGACAAGATTGTTCTGATTTGGTATTTGTCATGCTGAAAAATAACACTGCAGCAACAGACAAGGTGGTTCTTTTATGTTTGGGTAGACATGAGGAGGTCAGAAGGATTTCAGTGCATTCCATTGAACATACTTAAAATCCAGTAAATGAAAAAATGAAAGTAAAGTTTTCCCTCTCCTAGGCAGCACTACGAATAGATATCTGAAAGATCTTCTTCCTGAAGGAAATTCCTGAAAGGTGTTGATAGTAAGGCCTATAAGCTGCATTTTAAGAGTACATGTTCTGGCAATAACTTCATATATTTCTAAGATGTCTAACAATGGTTAAGCCTCTGGCAACAAGGAGGCTTAGAAGCTACCACACCTATGCATTGGGGTGAAAAGAAATTGAAAAAGACAAAGCATTCTCGAACAGTTTCACTCTACCACAGACGTCAGCAGTTTTGAACAGGTATCAGACATTGAACATGTACCACATTGTGTTGGATGTTTAGACTTCAGACAAAACATCACCCATTATACAGAGAAAGTTGTGCCTTACTGCTGAAGTGAGTCTGGAATATTTCCTATGGGAGAAGGCTTAAGCCATTATATGTCTGAGAACAAAGCTCTTATCAGACTTGTTGATAACAGAAGAAATGTTTTTGTGGAGAGAATACACAGACAGACAGGTATGATCTGTTTACTGAACCACACTTGAGATTCCAAGGTTGAGAAGGTTTGCTCTACAAAATGCTGTCAATGTAGTAAATCATACGATGATCTTCAGAAATTATCTTTGGGTGTGAACCAAATTTCAGAATATTCTTTTAGAACAGAGAAATATGTAGGCAGCTTTTGAGACTAAATTAGGGCTCTGCAGTAATTCAGGAGAAAAAGATCTGACTTCCTGTAGTTGATCGTTCATAGTATGAGTAAAAGAATTTTGTGCAATCTCTTTTTATATGGCAGGAATATGTAAAACTTGTGAGATAGAAAGATTCTTCATTGATTACGGAAGGTCATTGTGTCATTACTGAACAGCAAATACTGATGGTCAACCAGATAACACCAAATGTAACTGAGAAGCAGTTAACATCAACAGGAAAAAAGGCTTCTACAGAGAACAAATACACCCATCAACAATACCTCCATAGTCTTTCAGTAACAGTCATCCTGACCACTCATAATAACCCTGGGACTGGTTCTCTAAATTAACTGGTTTTCCTACTGATTTCTATTGGTAGATGGCACTGAGTATGGAATAAGTTTTGTCAACTGTTGTAGCAATTTGTAAACACCTTTTTTCTGTGACTCTTGACTGATTTCTTATCAAATCCTTTATAATGCAAGCAACTATAAAATGCATTGCATCGACAGTGACTTCTTAAAAATGTAAAGTTTCAAAATCACTTCTTGTTTGTTTACCCCTGGAATGGCTTCCCTTGCTTACTGTGCATCAGTAGCTTGGGTAGCAAACAAATAAGCTTCTGTCTAGGAGACTGCACACATCACTGACATCTCCATCTTATGGTTTTTGTCTGCACACTTTCTAATCACACCACAGTACTTGCATCTTATTTAAGCATTCATGATGCTTTCCCTGATCACCTCTGAGCCTCTTCACAGTGAAGACCACTTGCCTTTCAAAGCTGATCCACCAAAGTCACACCACTGATCACAGTCTTTGTTGTGATCCACATGGTTAAACAACAACTATTAAGGTTACCAGGAACTTAGAATTCACATATTTTACAGATTTTTAGAGAATTATTAGCTTTCCACCTGCACAACAACAACTTCCAAAAGGTCACTAAAAACAGTATCTTCTTATTCCTTTAACTCCCTTGCAGGTAAAGGTTCCCAGATGTTGACAGAAAGTCTTCCACTCATCCTACATCCTCTTTTGCCAGAAGTATCGTTCGTTATGCATGAAAGCTGGAAAAAACTACTAGTGAACAAATGAAGACTAATGTCTAATACTTGGTTCATGGCACATTGGAGAGAAACTTCAGGAACATTCAAGTGCTACACCTTTTCAAATCCATAGCAAAGTGATTCTTGAGACTCCAGGAATGTTATTTAAGTGGGTACCAAATTGTTGTACAAACCTGGACACAGCATTCCAGACTTTTTACTGGAAAGGTCTTTGGAAAGAGAGGCTTTAAGGAATGCATATGTGCTACATGTGGATTGTTAGACTTCACATCTGAGTAATTATACCGTAAGTTCCTAAAGGCACAAGCCAGAGAAAGAGAAAAGAACCAGGGCATCCATATTGCATTCACACTGTTGTCTGTTGGAAAAGCTAAGAACCTGGTGATGACAGAACCTGAGGAACACGCTACTGCCTAAAGACTTTAAGAGACTGCAGTTACAATGTGTAAATGGAAGTGCCTCATTTTTTATATTAATGCAATCCTATTTACCACTTTCACATAAATGGAATGTTTTCATGAAAATGGAATCAGATAAATTCACCCTGGAACTCTGGCTAAACCAATCTCAGAAGTGGTAATAATAATCTTGAGACTTTGTGCCTCCAGCAGACTCAAAAGGGAAAAAAAGTCCTTCAAAAGGATGGTAAAGGACTGCCCAGAGTATTATACATAGTCTGTATGATTTAAGTACATACTAGAACCAAGAACTTCTCTGTAAGGATTGAGATAATAATAAAGAGGCAGTATTCCAAAGTAAATTTGTTAAGAATACGTAAATCAAATCAAAATAATTTTATTACATAAATCAGTAGGTCTTGTGGATTAAAGAGAACTGAGTGCCATATCTGGACGTTAGCATGGATTCCTATATAGCTTCTCATAACAATTTCACTAACAAGCTGAAGAAGTCTGATCTAGACAAAAACATTGTAAGATTGCAGTATAACCTACAGCAAAACTGTGTTCATAGATTATCAATTTTTCTTGGTAAAAATGGATGAAGGGTATATAGATGAACTAGTGCAGCTTTCCAGAGCACTGTCTTAAGAACAGTAGTTTAAAACATTTGTCATTAATAACTTCTCATGTAACAGAATTAGACAGTATTTTCTTAATCTAAAGATCATAACAGCTTTTGGTGTTGAGTCTTTGAGGAAGAAGCCCACAACTGCTTTTAAAAACAGAATTAAAAAATGACAATTTTCTTGACTAATTTGAATAACCTTTTCAAACAAAAGAAGTTCAGTGAGAAGAAGCACAAACTTTTTATTCATCTGAGAAAGAGCAACTGTAACAACATGAAAGGAAGATAGACAAGCTCTACAGAAAGACAGCAATATGTTTAGAACAACTTGCAATATGAATCTAAGTTATCACCAAAGAGCAGCTATACTCTCATATACAACAGTAGCATCATACAAAGTCGTCTGTGGTACTTTTCTGACTACTCATCCTTCTAAGTCTTCAAATAGAGTTGTATTTACTACTTAGGACAGTACAACATCAAGACAAATGGAGACCAATTAGAATTCAGATAAAAACATCAAAGACAATTAGAAGCTCAGAAATGATGACTTATGTAAAAATGATAGAAAGAAACCATGCTGCTCAGTCTGTAGAAGATTAGATCAGTGCAAGACATGATAACATTCTTTGATATGTAAATGACTGCTATAAAAAAGGACGTGAATTGTTTTTCCTTGCCCACTGGAAAGAAGTCAGGAAGTGTCATGCCTAACTGCAACGAAAATGATTCAGGCTAATCATTAGAAGAAAAGCTTTCTAGCACCAAGAATTTGAACAGGTTGCATTACAAGAGTAAGGAAACTCCATTACTGACACTTTAACAAAAAAAAAAACAAATGGAAGTTATTGAGAGTGATACTGGTACAGTTCATTCAACATGAGAGTAAGAAGATCGGAAGCCCCCAAGTCCTTTCCTGTTGTATTTTCTAAAATCACAGAATCTTCTTCTGGAAATCTTCCCAAGTTTTGTACTAGATATAAAGAAATTATTACTTATTTTGATTAACAGACAATGTTGACATTCAGTTTCAAAGAACATAACTTAATTTAAAATTCAAACTTAAAGGAATAGCATATGAGATGGACAAAGAAGAACACACATTTGGGAGGTTTTTAGGGACAGATTGTATTCACTTTCCACATACTCTTTCAATAGTTTTCAGGGAAGAGTCCCACCACTTTCTCCAGAGATTCAAGTGCCTCATGAAAAACTCAGCTTTGACTATTCTAGCTTAGAACTGCTGTATTCAGAAGCATCCTTGCATAAAAAATTAAGACTTGATGAAAGAAACGGTTTATTTGAAAGAAACAGTTTATTTTGGCCCTCTCTGAAGAAAATCTTTGAATAAAATTCTTCCACCTTTCTTTTGAAGAAGAGAGGGTGAGATGATAATTTTTCTTAACAAGTACCTTTGAGAGCACTGAAGTTTGTACTACAGATTTGAGGAGATTCCTAATTCTTCTTGCCACCCACTACACATTCAGAGACGAAGTGTAGAGGAATCTCTCTGGAGAAATCCTATAAATCCCTAAGAAAATAAAAGTAATCTTTCCAAATTATTCAGAAAATAATCAAATATCCATTAACAATTTCTGGAGGGAAATACAACTTATTTCTGGAAAAGAGTGCAAAATTATACATTTTCATAATGGTTGTTGCTAGTCCTTACAGATGTTTTTCCAGGAGTTCAGGAAACTGTATGGAAACAGGCCTGTAAATGATATAAACACTTTTCTTTGAAAAGCAACAGACTAAAAACATTGGGGACAGCTTTCCTTTATACAGATCTTTAGAAGCTGTCCTAAAAAAAAAAAAAAAAAAAATTAAAAACCCCCAAAAAACATCTTTTCTGATGTTCTAGAGCAGTGGGAAAGTAGAACAAATAAATAAAGGATTTTGATGAGTAATCAATCTTGGGTAATTGAATGCACAGAATATTTTATGAGATCAATAAAAGTAAAGTACTCCATGTTAATTCTTCATAGATGAATTCATAGACATGAATTTTCTAAGAAAGTAGATGTGGTAACAGATGACAGCAGATGACATGAAAGCAGAGCCATTGTTCTGTTTGCATAGCTAAAAATATAAAATTTACATAAAAAATAAAGGATAAAGACCAGCCTAGAACCTCCGGATAAAACTTCAGCTGCTCTGAGCTACTTCAGCTTACTGGAGCAGAAGTGAAACAAAGATTTCTTTAACAGAGAAATTTTACTCTACTAAGTGACTAACCAACCTAAATAACAAGTAGAACTTCTGCCATCTCTCAAATATTTGCCTGAGTTGCAAACAAAACTTCTTCCTCATTCAGATTCTGTCAGACAGCTACGTTCAGTCTTAAAGTAATTCAGGACTGTGCAATCACACTCTCCAAGTCTCCAGAAGCCCTTTCTACTTCCATGCCAAAAGTACAGAAATGCAGTCTGTATGCATACCTTCGGTAATTGCCTCAAGTTTCTATGGTATATAAGAAAGCTTAGATACTATAACATCCTTCCTGAGATCTCTCTCCGGACTGATGATGCCTAGTGCCATTCTTTTTGTCCTCCCAAACAAACAATTAAGTATTTTGCTAATTTTTTTTAATCAAAGTTTGCAACCTGTCAACCAAACTTTTAAGGGCTAATGAGAGTAGCAACAAAAAGCTCAGCATAGATATTTGCTGTTTGTTCATCACTGGAAAATTCATCAGTGCAACTTCCACTCCACATCATAAGCCAAAAACTCGCTGTCAGGGATCCCATGTTCTAAATACCACTGTAATTATCCACACCTCTTTCACACGTTTCTAAAATACGACAATAGAGGAAATAAATCTCTGGCAAGATTCTTGCAGCATCAAGAATTGATTCTCTTATCAGGGTTCATTAATCTCTTTAAGAAGGCAAAATGGTAGCACCATTAATAACAGTTATTTCAGTTGTGCGCTTTATCAACGGGAAAAGTAAAGCTAACATACAGATAAATAAATAAAAAAAACCCTCCTCTTGCACTTTTTCAGTCCCTCTAATGCTGAAATATTACAATCTGAACTGCACAATAAGATTGTTTTCAGAAATAGTCTGAAAAGATATCCCTTCAAAATGGGGTTCTGAGACAGCCAATTGAAACATCAGCAACTTTAACCAAAAAGCAATTCAAATATTCTTCTGGCTGAGTGGTAATCATGTATTTGAGTAGAAGTAGCTTAGATTCAAAATGTTGTTAAACTGATAAGCTTGACAAAGAGAGAAAACCAACCACATTTAGTCTTCGCCATTTACAGAAGTTTTACAAGTCCTTTAGCACAAGACCTCCTGAAATACTGATGCTGCTGGCATGCTATTCACATACTTCTCACTTGCCACTTGAGCCACATTTCTTCTACCACTGTTTAAGACAGTACATGCCTACAGAAGATGAACCACAGAGATCATTTAGCAGTCACAGGATCATCGGATAATTCAGTTAAGAAGGGACCTCAGGAGGTCCTTAGTCCATCCTCGTGCTCAAAGCAGGGTGAGCAAGGCCACATTTTGCAGGGCTTTACCCAGCCTGATCTTGAAAACCTCCAAGGATAGAAAATGCACAGATTCTCTGGGCAACCTTTTCCAATGCTTGACTGTCCTGATAGTGAAAAAGTTTTTCCTTAGACCTAGTTAGAACGTCCTGTTCAAATTTAAGTCCGTTGTATCTCATCCTTCCTCCACAACACTGAAAAGCCTAATTCGAGTCTTCCTATAATCTCCTCACAGGTACAGGAAGGCTGCTCCAAGGTCCACCCCTGCCGAAGAGACATCTCTTATCCAGGCTGCATAAGGCCAATACTTTCACCTTCTCTGGAATCTCCCCCATCTCCTTTTCTCCCTCTCCACCTAACCTGACCATCCAGGAAGACTTAAATTTTGTTTGAGGGCTAAAGAGAAGAAAGCACTGTTGGATCTTTCCACTATTGCCATGTAAATATATAAGCACTGGAAAAGCAAATCAGCAAGAATATGCCCAAATCCCTACCTTGCTAAGTTTCATGTATCTCAGTCATTGCTTCTTAGGGATAATACTAAAAACAGCAGTATGCATTCCAGATTTTAGCATAAAGAATTATTCTGAGCAGATTTTTTTCTGTTCCCTCTCAACTGACTCACAGTTCACTCTATTCCTTTTCCATAGCTAAGGCTTTCAGGCTTCATTTATGCTATATGTATTGAGTTCATTGAACTACTTTCAATTTCATGTTCTTAAAATTTCATGATTGCAATTAAAGACAAGTGTTGCATGTTACAACACTTTTGAGCTGGTTAAGAGTTCGATACTCGTAATGCTGCCTTTAAACCATTTCTTATGTAGAGCAACTGAAACCATTCTTATAAAGAATTTAATCCTCATATTGAAAAGGATTTTAAATCCTTCTGTCCTCCATGAATTTAAGCTTTGTTTTGAAGGATGATTAGTCAATTTTCAGACCTTCAGAAATTTCTTCTGGATCAGGGCTCAAAACAATTTTGTATTCAGAACATAATGACATACTTGCTAGTATTATTTGAATACAGAAGTCAGGAGGAATAACTAAATACCTCTTTAAACATTGTGTTTTTTAAAATCAGGAAAAAATACATTGATATATATGACTACTAGGCTACCTTTAAGGGTTCCATCACTTCCAGCTGGAGAGCAGACTGACTGTGGTGACCTCAAGGAAAAAGATGCAGCATTCCTTATTGAAGGATCACCATCCTAAAAATGATAATGGTAAAAAATTAACATTATGAACACGAACACTTGATAAAGACTGAAATTAGTACATATACTCATAAAATGGATTGGACAAAAAAGTATACAAGAAGTATTAGAAAAACATTTATTTATGTAAAAATCTTTTAACTTAGACTGCTATTAGACTATTATATAGGCAATATTCCAAAGCACCATCAACTCTAAGAAGAGTCTATAACCAGAACATGCACACAAAAAATAAATATATGTAAATCTTCTAGCTAAACAAGCACTTTTGGTTTACACCAAGATTCCATTTAGAACTTTTTTGTTACAAGCACTCATAGTAAAGAGACGAAAAGCAGATACATGACCTCTATACAATACCAAATGAAAGAAATTGGGCATAAAATGTAGATTTTTAAAACAAACTCACCATTTTTTCACTTAACCTACCCTTAAAGATGATTTAGAATGCCATGTTACTTCTACAGTTAAACAAATTAACACTTTGGGTTTATATCCTCCAGCCTACACACATCGGGACTCAACAAAGTCTCTAGCACTCCCATTGCAGCACCCGAGACAGTCTCGTGTAAAACACAACTGGAGTGACTTTAGCTTGTTATTTGCCTGGCTTGACAGTTAGACAGGCAACAACCCAATGGCAATATAAAGCACTTCCCCAACACAGCAAACAAGTTCTACTGTCTTCTCAGTATTGCACAGGGGAACCTGCTTCAATGGAATTAATAATTTCTGACAAACTTCTTCATAATACAATACTAATTACAATGTAATGATGCCCACACTCTATCTTGAACAATGTAAATGTGCCTTTTTTACGTCCACACTACCTTAAAATTAAATATGAAACCCACTATTCAAATTCCCATTTAATGTTCCACATTTTTTTTATTGCTTTCATGGAGCCCTCTGCTGGTCATGAGTATACTCATTCACTCAATGCCCTAACTAGATTTAAACTTCTGTAGAATAGTATTTCCCATTTTTAGCACTGTTTTTTATACATCTATGGGAATGTTTTGGGAAAGAACAAACTAACAACCCCTACATCTATGAAGAGACAATTTCTATAATTATAAACAAGTCACAAAAAGTCCATTCTCTTAAAAAGTAAAGTCATACAAAGGAAATCTCCAAAGAAGTTCTAAGGTTATTTAATCTGTTTCCAATTTAATTGATTATTTCAGTAGCTAATATTCTAACGTGGCTTCTACTGAGGTATCTGAACACACGCAGTTCTTTCATTTAACTTTTTTTTTCCACACCTGAATTATCTGTCTGATAAATACCTTTTATCCTTTTGACCAATTTCAACCCAATTAACAGAATGTTAGAAGGCTCAACTGCAATTACGTTTTTACATGTCTGTATGAAAAAAATCAGCAGCCGGTAGTAAGTTAGAAAGCTAAATTGGCATTTCAAGGAGATAGAATCCTGCATAGATAGGCAAGGACACACTCCCTCTGACAGTGGCCAAACAGCCAGTTTCCACACGCATAGCCATAGACTAGATAGTGTACATGTTACACCTTGTGAAGGCATAGTTGACACTGCTTAGGGAAAAGGAAAGGGTTTTGAAATTTATGGACTTAAGGTGCTTACAAGTCAAAGAATATAAATCCGTACAAAACCAGATTTCATGAGTTTCATTATCTATGAGCACTTAAAAAACAATTCTATTAGATTTTTTTTTCCTCCCACAGCACAATGAATCTAGAACTCACGCTGTGCTATTAATTACTTATTTTTGCAACAGTGCTTGCAAAAAGAGTTGTTGCCTCATGTGAGGAAAGCCTCATGTGCAAAGAAATCTAATATTCAGATTCAACCCAGCAAAAAGAACTGTATCTTAAACTTATATGTTGTTATTGTAAGTCAAAGTAAATTAATTTCCTGATGAGTTACTAATTTATCTACTACTTTGGGGGGGAGCTTAGTAACTTTTTAGCATATATGTTTTCTTAGGACAGGAGAAGTCCTCTACCCATGATTGCCACGGACATAGGCAAAGGCAACTTCTATTAAATTAACTAAACAGACTAACTAGGTAGATGACCTTTCTGGTACACACGCCATTCCTACAATAGCTTACAAATTTTCAGAAGTGCTCATTTACAGTTTCCTAGTTCAGACCTTCATCAAATGATGATATGTAAGCACAAACTTATATCCTAGGAAGGCTCTCAAGTTTACCGAAAAATTGTCCTTAAATGGAGCGTATGCGTAGTGAGCCTTCAGGTGTGTACTTGCTGATTTTGTAGAATCATATATCACAAATACACAATATCCTGTAACTATTCACATTTTTTAAAGCAATAAAATCCTAAAACTAAGAAAAAGAATACAGAATAATTAAACTTTTAAAATGTTATGCTTTAATAATCCTCATTCATAACTATATTTGCCAAAGGCCACAATGCTTCTGAAAAGGCTGCAACATTATGATTAAGCTTATTATTCATACACAGGTGCAGAACTTTAATTAATCCAAGTTCTTCAAACTGCGTTCTGCATGATAGCTACTAAAATCAGCTTTTAAAGATATAATTACAAATAAATGTCACACCTATGCTCCATTAAGAAAATGCACAAAGGGATCAAAGTGCAAGTTTACAGTGTTTACTACTTTTTACATTTAGTATTTCTCCAATTAAACCAACCAATGCGGGTATGCTTTATGTTTTTATAGTCTGTTGTTTTGAAAGAGTTTAATTTCTAAGTTTTCATGAACTAAGATATAGTTGCATTGCTTGGATCACAAAACTAGGGATTAATATTTTTAAATACTTCCTCTTTAAAAATTATGAAATAAATTACCCTAATAATAAAGTTTTCAAAAAATCCTGTCTTAACAAAACCAAGATCCTCTTGATAGTGAACCTCTAACATGGTTGGGGGATATACGTACATTTAGTGCCAAGAACAGCTTCCTATTTTGAAGAATTTGCATTGCTGACCAGCAAGAGACTGCGAAAAACATCTGATGATTGTGTATTATGATAGCTTCCTTCCTTAACAACACTCTCTTTGTTCAAGATACTACTTTTTAGCTAATATTTTTGAGCAGCATAATTCTTGCATTTAAAAAAACCGAGATGACTAATAAAACTACTAACTTTCTCAGAGTTCTACTGTATTAATCCTGGCAAATCATTTAGGGAGCCTGGTTTTAAATACTTCCTCTTTAAACATTGTGAATTAAATTATCCTAATATTAAAAGTTTTCCAAAAATCTTGTATTAACAAAACCAAGATTCTCTTGAAAGTGTACCTTTAACATAGTTGGGGGATATACGTACACTTAATGCCAAGAACAGCTTCTTATTTTGAAGAATTTGCATTGCTGAAGCAGAGACTGAGAAAAACATCTGATGATTGTGTATTATGATAGATTCCTTCATTACAAAACTCTCTTGTTTAAGATACTACTTCTTAGCTAATATTTTTAATCAGCATAATTCTTGCATTTAAAAAAAAGAAGACTAATAAAACTAATAACTCTCTTGGAGTTCTAGTGTATTAATCCTGTAAGGGATTTAGGGAGCCTGGTGTTAATAGTACACTTGTTGAATACAACACCCTTTTTTGCTTCCACAAGCTAATTTAGGAAGACAAGACTTGCCCACAGTTTTTGTAAGCTAAATAAAACACACACACACACACAAAAAGGCCTGCTTGCTACCAGGTTTTGATAAGTTTTGTAACTACTGTTATGTTGTAGGCATCACTATAACCGCACTGTTCAAAAAGCTAAAGTCAAAAAATAAAAATGAAACTTCAGTGCTCTCCCCTTAAGAGCTGTTAAGAGACTGTGTGCCAAACTTGTAAAGAAGAATCCCAACATGCTTCATCCACAGGATGAGATGCTCATTAAGAACAAAATTAAGAAGTTCAAAACACTGTGAGAGAAAGTTGCTGGTTTTTTTCCCTTTACATTCAAAATTTCAGAAAGAATTTCTCCCATGTGAACTAAAGTCACTAAGGGAAAACTTCTTATAAAGAAACCAGGTTATAAAAGCGCATAATAGACCAGTAAGAAAAAGCGTCCAAAGGAATTTCTGCCTTTGTCAACACTACTATATTACCCAATAGGTTATTCAAATATGTCAAGTCTAATTGACAATTATGGGGAATCTTCAGAAAGACAAGTTAACTATACACCCGTTTAGAATCTAGTATTGTTTGCATCAACATATTGCTACAATAATTGCAGAGACACTTTACCATTTCTTTAAAATAAACTCACATGAGTAAGATTTTTTAGTTCTCATAATTTCATCAGAATCAATGTTACAGACCGTTCCAAAGGAAAGAGAGATCTAGAAAAAATTAAATCTCACACATTAAAGTTGCACAGTTGAGTGTACACATCTGAAACTGAAATAATTTTCAGTGGTTTTATACATCAACAACAACATAGTAAAATATCTGACTTCTAAGGCAACTAAACACATACTTGCTTTATCATAGTAAATATTTGCTTTATCATAATAAACTGATCTAGGTAACATACATCACTACTTAGCCTGTGCACCATCTGTAGGTAGTCTTCATTTGAGCCATGTCTAGAATTATCAGCATGATGATTAGCTGAATTTCCCGACAACTGACTTGAAACTTTATTTTCATGGAGATTCCTGATCCCACCTGTGACAATGGGACTGGATACTGAAGCTGAAATACAAAAAATATGAGTAACTATACTGATATATTCACACACTTGTTAACTCTTAAAAAGTTTCAGAGAAAACACCATAATAGTGGATATTAATGAATTGGATGCAAGAGGTCTGGAATCTGAACTAGAATCCAACTTTTTGATTGAATCCTTTTGCCACAAATACCTTGAATAAAATTAGATATCTAAGATTTTAATTTTCAAGAGGATTTAAAACCTAAATTCCAAGTACAGATTAGCCAAGTTTCTCTCCACGTCTATCCTAATTGCAGTCAGTATCATATTCTTACTGGTTACAGAAAACTTTGTTTTCCTCTATATAATTTGTATTCACTGCCTTTAGTAACTTCCAAGGTGTTAATGAGACATACAACATTAAATACAGAACAGCTATATATATTCTAAGCACAATGCTAAACTTTAAGAACAAATTATTTAAAAGAATCCAATAAGAATTCTACTTACCAACAAAAAAATGCCAAGATACTTTAAGAGTGTTCATGTTGTTCAAGATTGTTTTTAGAAAAGGGAAGAACAAAGAAATCCATTCATTCTGCAGGTCATCTTTGCCAGTTACTGCATACATTGAGCATAATTCTAGCCAATTTAGATTAATCTAGTTAACACTACAAAGGTTTGGTAAGGCTAAATAAGCTGGCAGCAAAACTTATGCTACATGGGCAATAACAAGGTTTTCACTGGTACAGATAAATGATGGTCACAGATAACAAATAAAAGTTTTTGGTTTCTTTTGATTTTTTCTATTGTCTTGTATATATGACAACTATGCAAAATGGGTGTACACAGGGGAGCAATGCAACAGCAACATGTGCTTTACCTTTTCTTCTTCCCTTTTAGTTTTTTTAAATAAAGTATGTACTCTGTATAGTCAAGAAAGCAAAGCTTAAACATACCTTCCAACTCAAAGATTTGCATTAAGTGTGTGACTCCTTCAAAGAAATTGGAGAGCCGTGAAGTAGGCATTGGAAGGTAAAGCTGACATGAGATAGCAGAATAAAACAAACATCGAAGACTTACCTTGCTGCATCTGAGGATGTGGTGTATAACTTGGAGGATGTGAATATGGCATGTATCCTGCAGGGCTTTGAGGAGCATATGGACTAGGCACTGGACTGTTTTGTTGTGCCAAAAATCTGTTACCAGAGCTTGTCTGTGGTGGCACAAACCGGCTAAAAATAAAATAAAGTTTTTAGAAGTTGGGAAAACAAATTTAGACAAATTTATTACTTTGTTTGGAATATTATATATTCAGAACATTACAACTTTTTTAAGATACAAAATTCCAACACAATCAAGAGTCTCCCTCAAAAGCAGTATTTTAAGCTATCAATACATTCCCGACTTCAATTATTACTTAAGAGTCACAGCTTAGGTACTGCAATAGTAAAAGTAAAGAACAGAATAAAAACCATTCATAAGACCCTCACCTAGGGAAAGCAAACAATGACACAAATAAACTAAATCAAATAAACTAAACTAAGATCTGCAATTTCGAAAGTTAGTCCTAGAAGTTTGAATGAAAGTGACAGCTAAGTTTTAATTAACAACTAGGTCACTAGGATTAACAAGGAGCCATCTACTCTAAATACGATTTTTCCAGCAAGACTTCAAAGAACTTCATCCAATAGAACTATAGTGCCAAAATATAGGAATGTGACAGGCATTTATGTAGGATCTGAACCCAAAGTCCACTGAATACAACTTATTCTTTCACTGACTTTATCTTACACTGATCCTACAGATAGGAAGCTGTAAAAATAACATAGGCTTGTGACAATAATACATGTACATTATAACTTACATTCTTATATGAGCTTTTCAAAATAAAAATAAACCAAATAAATACTTCAGAAAGTACATTACACGCTTTCACAACCCCCAGTTCCAGACAGCAACTCTATGAAGGTAAGCTTTCATAGAAAGAAATAGTAAAGTATTTAACACAAGGATTTTGTAAGGATTTCAAGAAGACTTTGTAATATTAATTGTAATATTCATAATTCAAAAAACCTTCTTAAATATCCTTTTTATATATAAAAGTAAAAAAGTGTACTGGTTTTTGTATAGATACAGAGCATTTCATTTGCCAAAACAATTACAGTAACTTGAAGTGAAATGTGAAATAAATTTATTTTAATAACGATATCTAATAACTGAAGATTAAACCTGTTAAAGCCCAGTAACTGGGTTGAAACTATGTGCAGAACTCTCTCCTGTAGTCCAGAGTACTTTATTATACTAATAAAGGCGTGGATTATAGGTACATGCTACTTGCCAGCACTCAAATGTTTAAAAAAGAACCAGAAAGTTGACGAGGATGCTGGTGGAAGACTGGCCTAACTACTGGGCCTATCCTCCTCTGAGCGACCTTTTGTATGACTGTTACAGCAGTACTCCATGCTTTTAGAAGCTTTCTTTCCCACCCTCCTGTCACACTAGTACTGTTATATATGCTGGAACACATTAGCCTCTTCTCTCCTATCGTCCTGCCACCAGTCTCAGCCTCTGCCACAGGTACAAAACAACTGGAGGGGTGGCAGGAGGCAGAGGGACTCCCTTAAGGATTAATTCACTGACACAAAGATTTTTTTTTTTGCCAGCTGAAGAAACTCACCCTGCTGTCAGACAAATGCAAAATTTATCATGACATCGATCACCTTCCACTCACATACTTGCAACAAGAATTGACTGTCACTGTAGGAAGAATTTGCAGTTCGCTGCCCCTCCCACCCCATTCAAAAGAAAGCGTTACCTGGAAGGGCTATGTGAGATAGTGGTTTGTTGATAATTGGAAGATGCAGGACTACCACGCATGGAATTCTGAGAAATATTAAACTGTGACATCATCATCCCTATTAAAAAGAAGATAGCAGCATTACTTTACACGTTTCCTTTTTAAGCAGTGAAGTCTATCATTTCAGAAATTATTATATACAAAGAGATTATAAACTTTACAGACATTAACATCATCTACCCACAACTGTTAGAAAACATTAGAACTGAACGATTCCATGCAAGATGTCCATTTTACATCATGACATAAGTGTTCCCTAAAGCAGTGTTAATTCAGTTATAAATATTAACAGTAGTTCCTTCCTCTGTTCCTTAGAGCTCCCCAAGCCAAAATCTAGTAAATAGAAACATTTTGTAACAGGACATATATTCCACACCCCAGGCTGGTGTGTACAGCACTCATTGTGCCAGTAAGTAAAAGATTTGGAAATTTCACAAGTCAGAAGAACACAGAAAACTTATCTCCCATTTTTACAGCAAGTATAGCAAATAATCACCTTGGGCTGAGTGCTGTAAGACATTCTTACCACTCCCATAATGCCTTAGTGGTTCCTTTCCACCCAGGGACAAAAGCTTTCTATTTCATCTCCCCTACACTTATAAGGAATGTTATCAAAGAAGGTGCTGAAATATTTCAATTGCAAAGCAGAACCAACATGTCAACTGTGGGCTCCCACAGCCTGTAGATCCCCACAGTCATGCTTTGGAGACTGAGGTACTAGCTGGTACTAGCTGAAAAGCCACAAGTACCAATATGCTTGAAACTAACCAATTTAAGAGGCATTTGTACAATGGCATTAATAATTTGCTGAACTTTTAGTTACCCCTGAAGTGGTCAGGCATTTGGACTAGATGATTATTGTAGGTCCCCTACAAATGAAATATTCTATTCTATTCTATTCTAACTCGCATCTTATTAGGGAGAATTTAAAGGAATCTTTTCTTTCCTCTCTTCGATACAGGTATAAAGAATTCCCTAACAACAGCATGCCACTGAAAGTTGAAGTGATGCAGAAACACAGAAACTTAAGTGAATTTTAAGTTATTTTAATGACAGAATTGAATGTTTTGCAGCTAAAACAGTGTCAGAATTCACATGCACACTGCAGCTTCGGAAGCCACAGCAAATGATCCACAGCCATGGGTAAAAGCACATCAGTAGTATAAATATTTTAAACCAAAGGTTAGACAGAAAGCTGACAGAAGTCCCCAATCCAGAGTGTTTGGGAGCAGTCAATCCTTCAATTGCTATCACTGATTTCAATTACTGCAATATTCACACAAGCAAAACTTGTTTCAGAAATCCTCCCTGTCGCCCTCTTTCCTCTTCCCCTCTCCCCAGCAGAGAAGAGATGTGATAATCCCCCAGGAATGCAGCCGTTACTACCTCCTGGTAGGTGTGAAGTGCTGCATTCCAAGTACATTAGCACATGAGAACTAGCCCACAGCAGGAGTGAAAGTCCCGTATTCTGCTGAGAAAAAAATCAGAGTCCTCCATACTACAATACAGAGGACATTTCATTGTTCCGAGTAACAGAAGGGGACTCCTCAACTCCTGCAAAATTTGTTTAAATGGACACTGGTTGCCTTGAACAGAGGTAAGTGAGGGTTTTGTGCTGGAGGCAGGCCTGGCCTGCCTCTTGCCTGCTCACCTCTCACTGCCACTCTCGACGCAGCTAGGTACAGTATTTTAGTCAAACTACTAACCCTTAACATTCATGTACAGGAAGCTGACAGAATGTGCCTATGTGAGCATGAACTATACAGACGAAGTTTCATTTTATGCTTAAAGCACAGACTGCACTTTTACAATACTTTAAAAATACATCTATTTATTTTCTCCTCCCTAAATTTAAAACATGTTTTGAACCACAGATGTGGTGGGTTTTGGTTTAAAAGAATGACAGGAAACACACAAATGAACCCATTTTAATGCCTTTTAAAAAAACCCTAAAAGTATTCTTTGATGGACAGCTTTCACTTCTCTCTTGTTGAAGCAGGGGCGGGACATGGGAGGCACAATCTAGGTAACTTAAAAGAAAAAAAAAAAAACCAAAAAACCAACATAAAACCAACAAAACCAAAACAAAAACCAACCAAACAACAACAACAAAAAAACCCAGTGTCTCCAAAGTTTCCAGGCAGATAACAGCCTGATAACAATGCAATGAGAAAGAAGTAAAATTAAGTTCCAAACATTTAGTCTAAAATGGAGTTGAAATTAGTCTCAGGCCATTAGCACTAAAATATCTTCTTGTACATTTTTTACATTGTTGTCATATCACTAGGCAGCAGATTTATGGCCCCACTGTGCATTTCCATACCTTAAATACTTAAGAATTTCTTTTAAATGCAACCTTAATTTTGTATGTTGGTAGTAAGAAAACATCATCCTAGTAGTAACATTGCTAGAATGTGTTTCCTTAACACATACCCCCAGCCTTGACTATAATTTTTTTTTTAAAAAAAGTGATACGCATGAATCCATTTTAGCATTCCTACTAAATGCCAAAGAATGCACTACATAAAAATGCAGCTCAAGGTCACAGAAAAAGTCTTGTATGATTAAACTGTATGACAGCATCATGCATGCTTAAGCTAGGACTGCTCACCAACAGGTGATTTTTCAGTTAAATATACACTCTTATTGAACACGTACATCTGCAAAGTTTTTCCCTTTTACAGGCACATGTGCAATTGAATTCTCGTATAAATGAAAAAAAATTATCCAAGTAATTGATGTTTATGGAAAGATAAATAAGATTTTAATCCCCCAATATTCACAAGTTCTGATAAATAGCTTAAAGTGAATATTAAGTCATAGAATGATTAAGGGTGGAAAAGACCTCTGAGATCATCGAGCCCAACCGTTAACCTAACTGCCAGGCCCACCTCTAAACCATGTCCCTAAGCACCACCACATCCACAGGTTTTTTGAACACTTCCAGGGACTGTGATTGCATCACTTCCCTGGGCAGTCTGTTCCAATGCCTAACCACTCTCTCCGTGAAGAAATTTTTCCTGATATCCAATCTAATCCTCTGCTGGCACAACTCAAGGCCATTTCCTCTCATCCTATCGCTTGTTACTTGGGAGAAGAGACCGACCCCCACCTAGCTACAGCCTCCTGTCAGGTAGTTGTAGAGAGCAATAAAGTCTCCCCTCAGCCTCCTCTTCTCCAGACTAAACAACCCCAGCTCCCTCAGCCGCTCCTCATAAGACTTGTGCT